GCCGGAGTTAAACCATGACACACAACACAGGTCAAAAGTAAGTTTTTCCTTATCCTGACATACATCCCTAGAATAGAGCTTATCCAAGAGATTTTTCAGGACATCCGAGGACTGGCAGACTCTCTCCCACTGGGTAAGCCAAAGAGTCTCTTTGCTGAACACATCCTGGCAAAAATGCCACCTAGGCACCTTTTATGGTGCCTTCACCATATCCCCATGTGCTTTTGTGATAACAGCGCGTGTGCAGACAAGTATGTAGGGACAGGGTGGAGAAGTACTCTTCCTATATATTCATTCCCTCTTCCCACTGGATTATTCTGTAGAGCAAGCAGTGTGGGGGGACAAGAAAGGAAAAAACCAAGAACAAGGGAGAGAGGGAACAAAACAGGCAAATGACAGAAGATAAGTGGAGAGAAGAAATGCAGCCTGAAAGTTTAGGGAGAGAAGCTTTAAAAAATCACTACAACATGTGGGCTAAGTTTCTTTTTTAGGTCATGATGTTTGAATGACAGCAATACAGTCACTGCTGTCATTCCTTTCGTATTTCTTTCTGCATTCCTTTTCAGTGTTAAAACTGTCCATTTAAAACTGGCTGAATCTAGTTGTGCAGACTGTGTTTTTCTTTTACTGGAGAGAATTAGGTAACTTCAGAATAATTATCTGAAATCTCCTCCCCTCCCCTCTCTTTTTTTAAAGACAATTCCTCATCTCTCCAGGAAGATGAAGAGGTAGATATGGAGGCTGTCAACTGGCAGCTGAGCAACACCTCCGTGAATGGGCATTCATCCACCCCAACCACAGTTCGCTTTCCCAGCTGGGTGACTTTTGATGACAATGAAGTCAGTTTTTCACCACAGAACCTTTCTCCCTTGAAAACAGACACCCCGCCTGCAGAAACACAGACTCCAGATGTTAACTGTAACCTCACTACATCCTTTAAGAAAAGAGAGCGTCCTAAAAGCACACTGGGTGACCTCTCCAAAATTCAAAAACTAGATCTCTCCTCGATAACCAAGTTGCCTTCTGTTGAAACGCCACCATGGAGTGCTACTAATCCCTTCCTGGATGAATCTCTGCGAGATGTCCAGCCCTCACCCATCAATCCATTCAGCTCATTCTTTGAGGAGCGGGACAGGCGTTCCAAAAGTTCTTCTGTCTCCAGTGCTCCAGGCAAAAGCCAAAGAGACTCTCTCATTATTCTCCATCAAGAGCCTGATGCCATCAGCTTCCATGAGGCAAACAAAAGTGTAACCCACACAGATGCTGTAGAGCAGCTCAAGCAACTCCAGATTGGAGACCCAGATCGTGTGACCAGCCCTACCTTGCCTGATGATGACCCCATGATGCCATATGATCTGGATGTAGCCTTATTTAACCTGGCATCAGCTCAGCCAAAGGATGGATGGCCAATGATGCTCAGGATCCCAGAGAAGAAGAACATTATGTCATCCAGGCACTGGGGACCAATATACGTCAAGCTGACCGACAGTGGATGTATACAGCTTTTTTATGAGAAAGGACTGGAGAAGCCTTTCCGGGAGTTCAAACTTGAAATCAACCATGAGATTTCTGAGCGCAAACTCCAGAACTATGATGAGAATGGAAGGATACACAGTGTGCGGTTGGACCGCACAACCTACAAGGAGAAAAAGAAGTATCAGCCTAAGCCAGCCATTGCTCACACAGCAGAGAGAGAGCAAATCATCAAGCTTGGGACTACAGATTATGAAGACTTCCTTAGCTTCATCAGTGCTGTGCAAGACACGCTGATGAACTTGCCAGCCTCGTCAACAGATCTGAGCACGGTGGGACTAAACTATCAAGAGGAAGAAATCACGGTTGATGTCAGGGATGAGTTTCATGGCATCTTGGCCAAAGGAGACAGTGCGATTCTCCGGCACAGTGTGCTGACCCATATCTATGTTCTCAGCTTCCTTTCTGGCCTGGCAGAGTGCAGACTGGGCCTTAATGATATCCTGATCAAAGGGAATGAAATAGTTGCAAGGCAGGATATTATGCCCACTACTACCACTAAGTGGATTAAGTTGTACAGCTGTCGGTTCCATTCATGTGTGGATGAGGATATGTTTAACAACTCCCGTATTATCCTGTTCAACCCCTTGGATGCCTGCCGGTTTGAACTGATGCGATTCAGAACTGTTTTTGCTGAGAAAACTTTGCCTTTTACTCTGAGGACAGCTGCCAGCATCAACGGTGCTGAGGTGGAGGTGCAGAGCTGGCTGATGATGTCCACCGGCTTCTCTTCCAACCGTGACCCTTTAACTCAGGTCCCTTGTGAGAACGTCATGATCCGCTACCCCGTGCCAAACGAGTGGGTGAAGAACTTCCGCAGGGAGAGCGTCCTGGGGGAGAAGTCTTTGAAAGCCAAGGTGAACAAGGGGGCCACTTTTGGATCAACCAGTCTGTCTGGTTCTGAGCCAGTAATGAGAGTAACTTTGGGAACTGCCAAATATGAGCATGCCTTTAATTCCATCGTATGGAGGATAAACCGACTGCCTGACAAAAACTCAGGTGAGTGGTGCGTGCCATCTCTGCAGGAGTAAACTAAAAGGGGCTACGTACTTTGGAAGAGAGGGAATACTGGGTTTACGTGGTGAATTTTTATACCACATCCTGTGTCGTATAGCAGAGGACATCAGTTAGCTGCATGAAGCATTTATCTGACCCTTCACTGCAGTAATTTTACATATCCTGCAAGCATTGCTAATGATAAAAAACAGGTTTAGGTTTTCCAGGTGCAAAAATGATGCCTTCTGTCTCTGCTTTTGTGAGTACATAATGGGACTTAGGCATCAGTGTCAGTGTGTGCTTAGCACTGTTATTGGAAGCAGGGCTTTTCAGGTAACTTGCAAAGGCCACATACTGTGCTGTGGGGCTGAGTGACAGGAACAGATACATTGCTGTCGTTGCAGCACATAAAATTTCTTTTCCATGCACTGCCAAGCATGTGCTGTGTGTTTACCACAACTGTGGTAAACGGCCAGTGCTGTGTGTTTACCACAACTGATGCCTACAGAGCATCTGGGATGGGGATTGTAAGAGGACAGAAGATGTTGTGCAGCCATTAAAAAACCCAGAAGTTCCAAGCACCAGTCTGTGGCTATGTTTCCGTAATCAGTGCAGGCAGGTTAGTACAGCTTAAACTTGAAGAGAGAATACCAACATAAAACCCACAGGTCTTTGCCTTTCTAGTAACATGTTCAAAATTGAGCATTCAATAATATGAGCAAGGTGCTGTTCCCTTTGTCCATCACTGCCAGTCATTCCACTTCCTGCCTTTTATCCGTGCTGTGCAATAAAGCTAGACAAATCAGGTTTATTTTTATTTGTAGTGAATTCTACTTCTTGATTTCTCTGATCTAGACTAGCTTTTTAGAAATGAGATGGACTTTTTAGTATTAATGCTGTAGTAAAGCAGCTGGGTGGTTTCCTCATCTGATGTTTCCTGGAAGTTCAGTGTTGTACCAGATTTGGCACTTTCTAAGGACATATGTTTTTCCTGAGTTTGAGCTACAGTGTCAGAAAAACAGCGATCCAAGTCTTCTAACCTTCTGGATTACATTTCAGCCCAAGGACGCCCGCTTACACCATAGGTTCCAAATTTAGGGGATATCACTGATGAAAGGGAAGGCTCCGTGTTTTCTGTAGTGTGGGGTGTAAGGAGAGAGAGCTTGGGAACTCAAGAGAGATATCACAAAGAAAAATTAACCCCAGGCTGTTCATGAGCAATAACATGCTTGGGAGGGAAGTCTCACTATGCCATCTGCATGAGCTCCGGGAGTGAGATGCTGTGAAATGAGGCCTTCTGTGGCACCTTCCCTCCAAAGATCTCCACGTACCGTATAGACGTTACAGCTGGGAAAGCGAACGCCCCCAGACTTCAACACCATCGCAGGACATGCTGGTAGCACACCAGGAGAAGAGGCAGAACTGGCTCTGCTGCCTCCTGAGAGGTGATGCTCACAGACTTGGCGCGGCTGCTGGAGTCCTGCCACAGAGCATCTATCCATCAGTGTCACCGTGGCAGGCCAGTTTGTATTTGTTTACATCCTGGGAGGAAGAGAGTGTCCTCACTCCTCCGGTCAGGTCAGATGTAATTTCGGGGAAAGGAAGGGCCTTGCAATCACTGTCTTGGCCAGGACACAGGAGATGCGTGAGAGAGAGGGAATCCCAAAGGGATTACAGGGCAGACCAAGTGTAGTTTAAATCTGACCTTGCCTCTCAAGGGCTATTTACATTTTTTGACAGTACTTGCCCCATGGTCTTCCTTACTCAGAGTATATGGCAAACAAAGAGGGATATAGATTATATAAATCCCCTTATCTGGATGAGGGGATTGAATGCTCCCTCGGTAAGTTTGCAGACAACACTAAGTTAGGTGGAAGT